CACTAAATATAAGGTACCGCAAGTGCCTTCTTGCTCCAGCCCTTTCACTACATGCAGGCAGTCTTACGTCAATTTTGTTTCGTAGGAGCACGAAATAGGCAGGATGGGTCAAATCGGTGGCATTTTAATGACAGACGCGATCGACGCTGGCAAGATTCAAACGATGTCCAGATCGCATATTGGTGACCAAGTCGATGGTGGTACAAGACTTTGGATTGGGAAGGACTATTCCAACCCTATCAAGAGAGATTTCTTTGCTGTTGAAAGATATTTGGATGGTAAAGACATTGTCGTACAGTACATATGCTGTACTTTAGCAGTTGCTATCGTTTTCTTGTTGATATTTTGGGTATTTTTCGTTTATTCTGTCTGTAGATTCAGTTGTCAGGGAGACTACTCCAAGAATGCCATGGCATGATATAGGTGTTGTAGTTCACGGTGCCCCAGCTCGAGATGCCGCTAGACATTTTATTTTACGATGGAACTCTACAAAGGTAATTGCAYGCTCCTTGAAGTTCCTCTTATTCAATCATTCCCATGTGGCGCAGGCGGGGGATGGGTTAGCTAGAGCCTTCCCCATTTTTTCCAATTAAAGCTTTATTGCATTGATAAGTTCTTCTGTTTCTTGACTAACATTAGATCTAAGTGGCATCGCCACGGAATAGTCCAATAGTCAAATGCTCTCTCAAAGTAAAGCAAAGAAATCAGGCCGTGAAAGCAACTTTGTTACATTTTTAGCTTCTCATTGCCGTTTTCAATTTTTGTTATAGCTTGAGAAAGTAAAACAAATTAGGCATTACCCATACCTTCTTCCCAAGTCATACAGCAACCCACACTTGAATGATTCACCTCAAGACCCAAAAACATTACCTGTAGATTGTCAAGTAAGTGAGGACGTAATCAAAAAACRTACGTTTCATGATCAATGGGGCACGCCCTTATGAAGAATGAGTACAATTACCAAGAAAGAAAAGGTTTTAGTCAGTAATATCGATTGTTTTTTTTAGATTCTTCGTTCAATAGGTAATTGGTCTGGAGGTATTCCAACAGAAACATCTATAATGCAAGCGTATTTGGATACCATTCATAACGCAAAACACTTCATCTATATCGAGGTACATCGCTCGTAACATCACGGTTTTTGTATTTGAACATCGTCTGTAATGGAGATTACGTTTTGTCCACAGAATCAGTTCTTTATTACAAGTATCATGTCTGAGAACATTAGAAATGAGATAGGTGAAGCACTGGTTATGAGGATTCAGAAAGCCTACAGGTATGTAAAGCAGTTGACTGCTTTAATACTGTGTAGTATCGTTTCGTTGCCAGAAGTTGTAAATAAAAGCTAAATGTCATTTGATCAATAGGGAGCAATCATGTTTTAGAGTATTCGTTGTAATGCCACTTCTTCCAGCATTTGAAGGTAGGCCAATCAAAATCAACGCTGACAGGAATATTTATATAACTATTGACGGTTTTCCTCACAAGGTGAGATTGGCACGCCCACTGGAACCTCAATAGGAGCCATTGTACATTGGAACTACAGATCAATATGCCGTGGGAGAGACTCGTTGCTGGCTAGACTGGCAAATAAAGGTACGTTTAATTTTACCAAGTACTTGTTTGTAATTTCGCGCGCAGAGTCTCTTCTTGGAGTCTCATGTCTACAACAAGAATTTCACATTTTTGCAAGTCCTCTAGTCAACAGAAGAAGGGCCGAATTCTTTTCGCATTGTTTGTATAAAAGTTTCAAACGTATTTCTTTTTTTTTCTTTGTTCGTTTTCTTTTCGTTATTAAGCTTGCGTTATACGCAAAAGGCGCACATATACAATTGTACGCAAGGAAATCGCGAAGAAATGTTTATTTGCATATCATAAAGTGAACGAAGTACTAATATTCATAATCTTTTGACAGTTGATGATCCATCTAAGTACATCTCGTTCTACTCTTTACGAACTCATTCAGAAATCTATGGAAAACCGGCAAGTGACATAGATCATGATGATTGTGTGTAAAGTCCTGCAAGAGAGATCATAGATATGTTTGTATGAACTTATATTTTACCATGTATTTGTTTTGGATTATCTTAGATAACAGAGCTTGTATACGTACACAGCAAGATGTTGATCGCAGATGATGATACTGTAATCATTGGATCAGGTAAGGACGATACCCCTTTATCGACCACGCCCTTTACACCCCTCTAAGAGCGTCAACTGGTTCTTTTGTCCCATGTTGTTAAAATCTCAATGCTAAATTTTCTTTATGTAGCAAATATTAATGATCGTAGTCTTCTTGGTCGACGAGATTCGGAGCTGGCTGTAATCGTGAAAGACACAGAAAAGGTACGAATTTGCTATTGAACTTGAATTTGTGATTTGAATTTGTCATCGAACGTGTGATCAAAGAATCGAACGTTTCATCGCATGCAAGCGACGGTTACACAAACTGAACAAATTTCTATTATTAGGTTCAGTCAACGATGAATGGGTGTCCCTACAGTGCTGGTAAATTCGCTCATTCTCTGCGAACCACATTGTTCAGGTAAGCTATCAACTGACGGATAGTCATTCCTCTTGTAATACACCTACATGATAATGTATTTTCAGGGAACATCTAGGACTACAAGACTCAGACAGTCGAATCGATGATCCTGTTTGTAAAGAAGTTTATGAGGTAAACAAATTGCCATATTGCAAAGATCACAGATTATATATAGACGCCAAGTTGAATATTTCATCGTGTCTATGCTAATATGAAATTATAAAGGATTTGACTTTGCACAAAATAATGTCCTTCATGTTAAGAAAAAATATTATCATACTGAATGACAGCTGTCAATCAACAGGATCTTTGGATGGCGACTGCTAAACGAAATACTGAGATTTACGAAAAGGTATGGTAACACATCGTCACTGACTCCTATTGACTAGTGATCTAACATTACCAAAGAATGCCCCTCTTAATTTCTAAACCGATCGACAAAACTACTTGATAACAATGTTTCCTACAAGAACGAAATATAGACATGGCTTTAACTTTTTTGCAGGTATTTCATTGTTTACCGACAGACGAGGTCAAGTCTTTTGCAGAGTTGATGTCTTACAAGGTGAGCCACACTCACTAACACTGTACACTGATCTGTTTGTAGGGCATTAGGTACACAGCCAATTCCATCCAGTAAATTCCCTTCTTTAACAGTATCACTGTTATCTCTACAGAATCTTGAAAATGAAACCCCATTGCCAGAAATGCGGAATCTACTACAAGATGTACAAGGACACTTGGTTCAGCATCCTCTTCGTTTCATGGAAAATGAAAATCTTCGGCCTTCTGTTGGAACTTCCGAGTTTCTTGTATCATCTGAAGTTTTTACTTGACATACTTCAACCTAAGAAACTATATAATKATGTGATCTTTCACAATAGGAAAAAATTTGAAATTTGAAATTCAAGAGGTTAGACCAGGTTACCGTTTCATAGAGATCATGTTTTGCAGTAAATACATACAAGAATAGACTTTTGGAGTTTAATTCAAGTTGGACTATAGTTTGACTAATGAAAATTTTACAGGAATTCAGACTTTTTTATCTTTGTCATGGGAAAATATCACAAATATCATTAACTTTACTATGGCAACGTCATGATTGATGTTATAAGAGACATTTAATGCTGAATATATTACGAGACGTTTATACAGATATTTATCATTAAAATACATACGTGTTTGCGCTCCTAAAATACATTTCAATATCCAAAAATATATGAAATACTTAGATAATAATTATATAAAGTACATATTTTTCAGTACTCTGCTTTCGAGCATTTCAAGTCAATTTGAGCTGTAAATATATATTGTACTTGTTAAATCACAATAAAACTTTTCATGGGAAACTCCTTACAAGAATTAGTCCTGAAARAGAAGAGAAACGAGTTGGGGCAGTGGTGGAACAGGAATTTTAAACTGGACCAATCARTAACATAGTTTTATACAAGCATTTACTCTCAGCAAATTTTTCCATCTAYGAGGCATATTTTCCTGCTACTTGTAGATGGCATTAAGTACAAAGTATATTGGTGATCACTATGGCTATGGATCTTTTTCACCAACAAACACTGCATTGTTGTGAAGAGTGTTTCATTTAGTTAAGTATCAGTGCTTTAGTCTTTGATGGATAGCAATACACACTTTGTAGTACCACACATCACAATGTCAATGAGTATACCAAAGTGAGTCATTACCAATTATTTTCTTTAAGCATCATTGCTGTCATTATCGTTCTTAGAATCTAAACTGTCCAGTGAATTCCAGGAGCTGCCTTGGTTTCGCTGTTCATCATTTGTCTTGGCGCCCAAGCTYTCTAAAATGCGTGACAGTTCTGCGCGTTTGGTGGCGTTCATTTGTTGTGTGATATGGACAATRGAGTCCATGGCGATGTCAGGGTTTTCTTGTACAAGACTGAAACAAAACAAAACATTTAAATGTACAGGCTTTACCAAAGTTTCCAAGAGATCTTCTTGAATGATTCAATTACTTACTTCTTGATATTTCGAAGCACATGGTCTCTCTTCATCCATTTGATATTCTCACTGATGACAGATTCTTTTTTGTCTTGGCTAAGTTCCTTCTCTAACCATTGCGCCACAAACTGGTTGTCTGACCACAAGTATGACTATGAACACAGGGAGAGGATAGTTAGAGGGTAATTCTAAGGGATTCACACYCTCGCAGATGCTMKTATGCTRACSATCACAACCCAGATGGYCTGCGTAGCGGCTCTAGAGGAAGGGGGAGGGGGAAGACGRRAAKAKGGATCAGTGRAGGAGGGMTTTTCCCCCTTCCCGCCWCCCCTAGAGMGGCTATGCAGGCTACAACCCAGAGTAGAAGTGCATCATAYATCAATTTATTTTTAGGACTTGTACCTTWGTACTTCCATTGGACTCCAGGAAGAGTCTTTCTAAAGTAGAATTCAGTTGACCAGATGAAATATCACTACAGCATGAAATAATTGAAAATAATCAATAACTCAGGAATTTTAAATTTSGTAAAACACAAATTGCATGTCATGTARTTTTTGCACACTTCRTACCAGTTAGCATTGCRCATGAGTTCTTTGACTTGACGCTCCATCAAGATTCGTTTAAGTCTCCAGTAAAAGAATTTTCGAGATTTCTTCCATGTCACAATTTCATTGATCACTCCCTTCTCRACCATGCGACCAGGAGTGTCATGCAGATCAGCAAACTCAATTGCCACCTATAAAATGACAGAGAATTTGTGATGCACATTGTGTGATGAATTGCGTGACAGGAAATAGATTGTGTGATCCTTTTGTTCACTATTTCTTACCTGTTGGTATGTCGACAAAAGATCATCTTCTCTGTCTTTCAACTTCTTTTCCATTTCTTTACATTGCTTTTCTGTGAGATTTTCTTTGAAGGAAAAAACACTAACAATTATCAACTAACTTGTATAAAGGTGGTGGGAACTAGCGGTAAACTAGTGTGAGCTGCGTCGGTGTTTCTAAAGAAACAGTCACTTTTACTCCGACGAAGGATTAACGTCCGAAACGTCAGTGAGTTATTTCACATACTTTTTTAGGGTGTTAAATTTTCTTTTTACATAACTGTAACATGTATAAAGTAGATTAGCGATTTTGACTTACCAGATGACAAGGCCTGTGAATACTCAACATATTTACTGTCGAGTCGACGCATTGACTTCACAAGGTCTTTCTTTCTAAACTTGATTTCTACTGTACCAGAAGGTTCAAGTACATTTCCCCTGACAAAGAATATACGACTAGTAGGTAAATGAAATCCAAACAGATCGATCTAATTCATAAGTACGCACTTTCAAACCAAAATTGTAATGATTCAATTTGCAACTACAACCAAGATGTATTAGCCTTGCATCTTTTTACATGTTTTATGAACTGACTCTGGTTTGTATACAATATGACAACACATTTGGTTTTACCACTTGACATCATTTGCTATTAACTAATTAGAGATATCAGACATTTACGACTTGGCGATGCCTCTTGCATTTAACAAATGCATCTAATGACATTACTAACCTGCTTCTCTCATCAGCATACATTTCCATGCACTTCTGATTTATAGTCGGGTCCACTACTACCCATGCCCCACCSCGCAGCTCTGCATAGGGTGGTAGGTAGACAAAGATAGGCTGTTCATATTCACGTAAAGCATCTACAATATATGATCCATACTTGAGTATAGAATCATACATATCCATCATACCACCCGAGAATCCACGCCAATTGGCAAAGATAATCAGTGGTAGTTCCTCTTTACTGAAGTCACGGATTGCCTGCGCAGTCTTGTAGGCAGAGTCAGGATACCAGACCTGGCCGGCCTGTGGATTGATCTGAAATAACGATTGTAAGTTAGATTTGATTGTCAGCAGACAGACTGTCTGTCTYAAGTTTACCTTAGTGTCAGATTCAGGGTTGCCTGGRTCAGCKGGTATCACAACTTCAACTGGACGAGTTTCAGCTGCTATGACCCCAATAGGAATACCACCAAGTCTGAGAGAAATGGTGAATGATAACGAGATGTAATAACAAGTAATAAGCAGTAAAAATAATAAGATGGCAATGGTTTAGATCTCACATATGAATAAGCAGTAATTCAAAGGATTAGAGTTGATTTTTTGAATGGTCCATTGTCATTTTCCATATGATAATGATGATGATGATTCAGGTAAATACTGATGATTATGATGGAGATGACAGACAATTACCTGGCCCGTCCACATATGACAGTCTTGGCCCAGTTAGTCATTGTTTCAATGAATGAGTCCTGGTCAAAAAATCCACTCATCCAAGTACCTGGTTTGTCTGGCAAAAAAATAAAGTTTTGTCAATTAGAAATTGCTGTGATCCACTGGACGAACACAGAAGTAGCAATCTGAATGATGATGGTATCAACAATAAAATGAACAATATCAATAACTCTCTAATTCAACCCMAATCCTGACACAAACAATTCCTTACCAGGGTGAGGGCAGCCAGAGATGAAGTGTCTAGGGTTATAAGGTACTTTTGTTGGTAGGAATTCCACATCTCTATCAATTGGATCTTTAGTCTTGATTAAGGGTAAGGGACCATTACGAACCTAAACAACAACAATCTGTTATTTCACTTTCAACATTGATTCCCGACAAGTATTTATCAGAATCCTAAAAGGGACTTTGTCAACCTATTAAAATGTTTCTAATCACTTCCTGGACAAAATATTGATAATGTTAGGGATGATCCACTTAATCCTTAGATAGTAATGKTAATAACTGACCCTTGGTACAAAAGCCAACCAATCCATGACTGCAGCAATACCACCAAAGTCATCAGGTACAACTAGATGGGATATACCTAGAAACACATGACAGACACCACTTAAGAACTCATCCAACAGCGCTGCGCGCCTGTGACGCCAGCACTTTTGACCCCTGCAGCGTTTTAGGACAAACAAACAGTTTCTCGTATAAGAAATATGTGTGGTGACTTGCAGATCTCAACTTCAAACGTCGGAAAAGCGACTATTTTAACAGACAAACGACGATATTCCTGTCTCGAAGTTTGAGTAATTCATAATTCAGGCAAAGCTGTTCAATCATAAACCTGAGCGATTTGTTAYGATGTTTCTGTCTTACCATTGTTATGCATAATTTGTGGTCCACCAAGTTGCATGTTAGAGCTGTACACTTGTCGACCAAGAACCTAAAAACCAAATAAATTTGACAAAACTTTAATGTATACTACAGTTTAATATAAACATATTAATGGTCTATCAYTCATACTGCGCTGTGATTGGCTACTCTACTAATGGTCTAATTTGTGATAGACCACTCGCGGACTCAGCCTCATGGGCTATTAGCTTGTAGTCCACTCGACCTTGAGGTCTAATTGTTAATTAGCAATACAAGCTTTACTTAAAAAAGTTGTTGATAAAGACATTATTTTAAATCCTGCCCTGRTACTATGGAAAAACAGATACTGTGAAGGCATACCTTATTCAGTGCATTGTAGCCTGTTAAAATCAAATGGGAAGTCTCTGTTTGTATGACTCTCTGACCAAGACGAACAAGATAAGAACCAATACCAACTGCACGACATGAAACCTGAAAATACATGGTTATGTATAAATATAATCAAAGTTTGTTTTCCCTAGCACTGAGCATGCTCAATGTTGTTCATCCCACATGGCTGCATGACTTTCTTACCAGGCTGATAGTGACAATATCATTATAGGCACATGACATTTCACCGGCAATCATTCCAGAWCCACGAAGATTCTCTACACCAATACCRTCTTCACTTCCTGGAAATTAGCATGGTAAGGTWATAAGGGATGATTGACATGTTCACAATGCACACAAACATTGTATAGTAAATGTGCTAGATACAAAACAGAAGCAATACAATTTTTATTCTGATATGCAATTAATACAGATAGCTGCACACGGTGTCGGGGCTGAGATTCTTTTGAACTATCGCTCAGGAACAAATTATTTTGTATTTCTTTTCGTACAAAATATAGCAGCAAATATTCTACCTAGTATGTCAGTTATTTTGTAGCGATCTTCTCCRTTATCTTGGATGTGTTCAGCATGAATTGAATTTGTGGCACTGAGCTAGAATTGCAAAAGATAAGATATTAATAATCATAATTTAATCTTATTCAAAGATAATTATATATTCTACTACTTACTTTCTTGAAATCACTTGGAGTTACATAAATATACTTGAATCCCTAACAAAAAATAGCCATTCTGTTAGTGTTTATGAATTTCATGGAGTAGCAAAAGAGCACTACCTTTTCTGGTACTTCAGGGTCATTCCAGGCCACTTTGAACAAGTGTCTGACCTCCTCTGCCACACCTATCCTTGCCCCACTGTTAGCTGAAAGGTAAACAAGTGGGATCCCTTTGGACCTAGCCATCTCTGATGCCCTCTGTACAAAACAAAGACAAACAGATTACATGAGTTCAAGTACAACTAATAACACTACTCTATATTTGACATATTACAATAGTTACAGTAATAACAAATAGACTTGAGACTASGTCCTATGACAATATGACTAATGAAAAAGGTTAACAAGACAATGTAATACCTTGAAAAGAAGATCTTCTTCCGTAGCAAAAGAGCCTATCATATGYGTAATATCATTGGCTACAACCATGAACTCTCGCCTTTCTGGGTAACACTCAGGAGTTGTACATTCAAACTTCCATGCAATCATACCAGACTAAAAAATAATAAGAAATAACTTTGAGTTGTTTTATTTGCTATAAAGAATAATTATACTTCAATAACGTCATCATTTTGTGCAACATGTGTACTAAGTTTTGAGGGATTAACAAAAACATGATATATCAAATATCGATTTAAACTTTTGTTCCCATAACAATACCGTGTTTTCTCCTGAAAGGCGTGAGATTGCCTCCAATTGCTTGTTCTCGTCCAACACATATTCTGTAATACTCATCTAAAAAAAAGAGGAAAAGCAAGATTATAAGTCTTGTCAAAAAAACTTTTATAACAAGCATAGAYATAAAATRTCACTGGCTGTTAATACTACTGATCAGCWTACCACATCRCGGGGYGGYTGCACCTCCTCTGCCATGGTCTTGGTGTACTTCTTCCACATCTTGACAATAGCCTGGCAGAGAATAAACTCTGTCAAATTACAGTGCTTTTCTGCTCATTACTACCTTGAACTCTAATGTGATAATTAAGATAATTATCTTATAGGTCCCAGTTAGAGTGCCCACAACTTGATCAACGAGTCATCATCATCATCAACATCATCATCAACATCATCATCAACATCATCATCAACATCATCATCATCATCATCATCATCATCATCATCATCATCATCATCATCATCAACATCATCATCAACATCATCATCAACATCATCATCTCAGCATCATCAATGATAACACATTGTTTTATTACCTGTCTGAACAGTTCTGGGAAATCATACACATAGGTTGTGCCAAGTGATTGTGCTTTGAAGCGCTTCAGCTATTGATGAACAAAAAATCACATTTCAATGTTATTTGTATAGTTATGTCAGTGGTAAAATGATTATCTTTTTTGTGACGAGTTTCATAAATTTGCAGTTTATAAACTGCATTTCTCTCTCACTCTCTCTCTCTCTTTTGCATTTGATTGATATTTTTGGCTTATGTTACAGAAAGTCATAAGTGTGCAATCCTTACGATCTTGCTTACTCTAGTCAAAACAACTAGTGGTTAACATACTAGATGCAGATAGCAACATCTTCCAAATTTTACCTGAAGATGGTCTTTAGTGACATATGGTGTTGATGTTGGTAATCCATGTAGAGGGCCTCTCTTTGGACCATATGTTTCAAACACCCTCTGCAACAGATGTCAAATAAGAAGGGTTGATAGTGAAAAAAAGGAAAAGATAAAATGAAAAGGAAGTAAAGAGAGAAAGGTACGCAAAGAGAGGGAGCTGARGGAATAAATGAAAAGAACAAATTTAAAAAGTGGATGGTTGGTGGGAAGGAAAATATGTTACAGACAGAAAGAAGGTCAAATAGTGAAGGAAAAGAGAAATGTAAAGAATGATACCTCTCCAGTGCGTGGATCCACAACTTCCTTGTAAGTACAAAAGTCCAGGTAATATCCAGATTCATTGGAAATAAACATCCTCAATGGAATGACAATGCCAGTAGGAGTAAGTCTGTTCATAATTACATTCATTAGCACTATAATTATACTTGTATTGGCTAGATATCATGAGTTATTATAATAATTATAAACACGATACCAACCTAATGGAGACTTTAATCTCAGCTTGTAAGACTCTCAATGACCAAAGTCTTCTACCATATCTCATTACGATATGACGAATACTTTCCTCTATCTAAAAATTATCAATATTGTCAGAGTATAACTGTACCATACTGTATCATACTGTACCATACTGTATCATCTTTATTATTTAATTATAAAAAAATTGATTATTGAAATCTATCTTTGTTAGTTTATGTTACTTTGTGACTATAGGTAAAAATTATATAGACCCCTTGCATGTGACGTCAAAGCAGCTTCATCTGGAGGACAAAACAAAAGATTTTTGCCCTCTTGGGAACTAGAATCCATTGTTTTGTCCTCCAGTTGGAGTTGCATTCCCCACAAGCTAGGGGTCTTACACACATACAGGTGCCTTACCCTGTCAGGCTCAATAATCACGCATGGAACAAAGTGCAGGAAAATATGGTTACAGTCGGTACGTTTGGGCTGCAAAACAACAGATTAAAATGAGTACAACATATTGCACACCATGACAAAAATTAGGCGTACTTACACTGTCGGTAAAGAAAACTTCCATCTGATCCAAAGCCTCCAACAGCTGGATCTCACTCTCTTTTTCCATGTACTCAAAAGATGCTTCCTATTATGAATAGTTCAAATAACCCAGATAAGACAAGAACTAGCAAAACCACACACATCAAAAGACAAAGTATTATAATCAAAAGACCTTATCTTTTAAGGTATTTTGAAAACTAACTGTATTTTTACCTTGGTTACAAAGTCAGAGTGTCTTATTATTGTGCGAATGAAGAATCGATAGTCAGTGACTTCCGTTTTATTGGATAACTATAAACAGAAAAAAAATAATGAATAAACCAATTAATAAATAATGGATAAGATATTAAAGTCAGAGTAAGGCAAGGACTAACCTTTTTAGCAGATCCAAAATACAAGTGAATGTTATGATTAGTTGTTGGAATTAACTCCAAGTCAAAGTTCCTCATTCGATAAATTTCCAGTTGAAAAGCAAGAGCTGGCTCAAGATGACGATAAATCATGTCTTCCTCAAACTGAAAAGTCCAAACAAAATAACACAGTCAGGGAAATTCCTTCCTTAGTTAAAATCACTGCACAATAGACAAATAAATGTAAGGACGGATGAATGAGTATTAAATGGATAAAAATGGATTTAAAGAGTTCTTAACAAGTCATTATACTTACATCATCCATTGAACGAAATGTGAAAAACCATGGGAAAGTTCCCTAAAATCATTGAGAGAACTAATGGTTAATGGGGGATGGCAACATGATAAAGTCAGTTCTTCTAGGCTTTATTGTCATAAAACAGAGCATTCACAGAAATATAATATCATGTTTTAACATGACAATAAGCTCATGCTAAATGCAGTAAAATTTACCTTGCCATCACACATCAAAAATGTAATGCGGCGTATTGCTTTATCCTTGAAGATAACTTTCTACAAAACAATAGTTTAAAAATACCTTTAAATGATTACAAACTCACTCACAATCACATAAATGTGAGTTCAATTTGACAAAGATAACAACATGCTTTGTTATCTTATCTTCCTTTGACAGTCTTCATGATCTGCTTCACTTCTACATACCTTTGCGTTAGTAAATTCACTGACAATTTTCTGACATTCTCTCATGTCCTGTCCCCTTTTCATTAAAATGGCAATGTTGACAATGTGAATGGGTTCTTCCTCGCAATCTTTATACTATAAGAGAGAGAACACATTAAAAGGTACAATTACTTTGTATAACMTTATTTAGGCGAAGACAATTATTTTAACTCCATCAAATAGATGGAAATGCAATGAAAAATGATAGAAGTGAGTTAGTTGTGAAAGATTGCTTTTCTATTTTGTACCCTACCTGCTTTTTCAAGTCTTCGAAGGAAGAACCAGAGTTAGCTCTCTTAAAACCCTTAGGAGACCGAGGAACTTCAACTGGAGCTCTAAACCTGTCCATGACCAGATGGAAATTCCTAAAAAACAAAGAGTTTTTCATTTGAGTTTTAGCTTCTGTACACTCAGTTGTTTTCATGGAACTACATGTACTTAACATATCTCATTCTAATACAACATCTACCATATTAAGTTCATGCTTAACCCTTCAAAATGCGCTGGTTGTCAAAAAACGAGAAACATCAACAATGCGAAACCTCAAAAAAGTGAACAAAGTCTTACTTTTCAAAGTCTTCAATGGATGGAAAAGCAGCCATAACACCAGTTCGACTACAAGGTGATGATTGATGTTGGACAAGGTCAAAGAGATCTTCACTTAGACTGCGAACCTACATAGTGAATACAGTCTTTATCAATTAAATACTTAAATATTTACTTAAAGTTTGATAATTCATAGATGGCATACCCGTGGCATTGCAAGAATGGTCTTGCTTGATGGCACCTTGTGCTGCGTCCTGTGAGATAATCAGTACAATTACTACATATAATGACTTGTTAACATTGAATAATATTGCACTCACCAGTGAGGATGACTTGTTGGTAAAGAAAACTGAAATTCCACGATGGATACATTTCCAACAAGCTAAAACATGACAAATACTAAATTATCACACATTTAAACAAAGAAAAAGTAAAGAAAAAGAAAAAACAAACAAACAGAAACTAGGTAGAAAAGGGATGGTCAGCAAGAACATACCTGATCATGATAGAGTGTAGTAAGTTCATAAGCTTGGTAACTACGGCGCACATATACCTACAAAACAATAAAGGATGGCACAGTTTATTAGTATGTCACACTTTTGTGAAAGAGGTCCAAGCTCAATTCCCATTTCCATTATCAACCTTAAATCCTTATTTACTCAACTAGACACTTTTCACTCGACTTCCACTTCAAAGGAAAAAAAACAACATACCTCAAGTGCTGCTGTTCGTACGGCATCATTAGGGTGATAGAAGAAACTTGGTAGCATATCAAAGATAGCAGTCTCAGAGAGAATGAGTTTCTGAACAAAAACAAAAACATGTCCTATCAGTACTTTGTAACACTCTTAGCACAATGGATCAGTACATAAAGATACAGACTTGGATATACTTGTAGCTAGGACTACTGCTTAGATTAAAAGAATGATAAGGAGCTTCAAAGTTTGACTCCTAATTTCTAGATTAATAGTTCAGTATGCGGCAATCACAGTACACACAAGTTTGATCTGGTATGAACTTTCAAACCATTTCAAACATTTAAGACATTTAAAAATCTCTTACTTGTAGATTTTCTGGTGCAGCCTGATTTCCCATGATGTCAACAGCTGACAAGAAGAGTGACTCAATCTGGTTGTGACGTCGCTCATATGAAGGCTGCTGGGAAGCTAGGAGGGCCTACAAACACATATTAAACATATTTACTACAATGGTCACGATGTTGAAAGAATTGATTGAAAAATTAAATATTATTTGCATTTTTACTCAGTGTGTAAAACAGATCCCTTTGTTTGTTGTTAAGTAAACATATTTTGTTATTTATTAATAATATCATCATCATCATCATCATCATCATTATACTCAATAATTGTTTATAAGGTCAACAAGATACCTGTCTGGCTCTGAGAGCAACCTTGGAGTGTTCAGGTCTATTCAGTGATGTCAGTTCTTGTAGCAAGTCATGGAGCTCATCAGATAACCCACCTTCATGTCCACAAAGATGATCCTAAAACCAAGGCATAATAGATAAGAAAATACAAAAAAAAACAGATAAATACTTATCTATCAGATAATATACATTACAGAGAATAACATTATCTGGTGGATAATTTTATTAACCAGTTCTTGGTCATTTTCAGACCAAAACAAAAAACAAAAACAAAATGCTTCATGACTCAGAACGATCATCAGGCAACATTATGTCATCCAGAACTGTACTTCCTGAGTTTCAAGGCAGTGTTATTAACAGTAGTCCACTACCACAAACCTGCAATATTATAGTTGTGTATAGTACTTACAATCAGCTGTACAGCAAGGACATTCTTCTTGGCAACATTTGTATGAGAAAACACAGATGATATGACAAAAGGCAAATTGCTCTTCTTGTGTTTTTCACGTAATAGAGTGAGACACTTCTCAAAATTACCTGAAAATCAGGCAGTTTGATATAATTATTAGTCCTTTATACTTTCTTTTATTCATGTTTTCGTCTTTAGGAACACTTACCAACGCTAAACAATGCTTCAGTTTGAAGATACTGTCTCAATAATCCAAGTACAACTGCCTTGAGATGACCACGGACACCATTACGATACCTTCAACAAGATTATAAGTGTCTAATAATCTAGTATAATGCAATACTACTATAAAGTTTAACAGCCACAGAGAACATAATAATCTTGTGGATATGATGACGTACTTTTGTACCAACTGTACTATGCCTTGTGTATTGAGGAAAAAGGCATCCCTCTCTTCTCTTTTTGTTAGAGTAGCAGCATGCGCATCCACTACATTGGCAATCTAAGCAAACAAATTGAGCATTTCAATGTGATCAGCTTGGAAATCTTAGTACTGTACTAAGGAAGTGGTACTTAGGCAAGAGTACATACATAAATGAAAAAGTACAGCTACTACAGCTGATCATTGTTATGTCTTGACAAAATGATATGAAGAAGGGTATTTTTAATTTTTATTGTCAATGTTGTCAAAGGTCAAATTCACTCACTTGTTGGCTTGGAAACTGATTAAGTAATGATGTCAAGTTGCTGGCATAGTTTGCAAGATGTTTTCTGATTGATTCCTCTACAGAATATGGTATTCGTCCTGAGATGGATGCCAACATTTCCTGGAAAAAAAATGTTTGAAAATCAGAAAACTGTTTTTGTTTGCTTCTTCTTGTTTTTACCCCRAAAGCTACAATTTACTATTGAGAATGCAAATTCATAAATCACTCTGCAGTAACAATATAAAATAATCCAGCTAGTATTATATGTGTTTAATGGATTTCATACTTGTAGTTGTAATAGTGGTAATGCTGGGTCTCTTAAACATTTTAGTAAAGTCTTGACATTTTCTTTAACTTGCTCTGTGAAGTATGGTTCATCAATGCAATATCCATCCATTATATGCTGTAAGGTCTCATAYGTATGCTGAAATATCTAGAGAAACAAGAAAATAAACTTAAAAATGAAACTTACAGGAAAGTGAGTGATGCTACAGAAAAGTGAGTGATGCTGCTTCAATTATTGGTTCAAATTTCAAGCCAATCAAATCAAGTGTATCATCAATTAGGTAATTGTGATTGGTTTGCTTGAGTGTAAATGAAGCCAATCAGATCTCTTGTTTCATGAAGTATGTACCTGGTGTCTCTTTATTCCCTTTGAYTTGATGTTTTCAGTGGATTCTGGGAAAGGCTCTCCATAGACTTTAGCCTGCAGAAATGAAATGACATTTATAAGGTTTCAAAACACATGAATAAATGGAGGGATGACTGGAAAGAATGAAGAAACAARCAAGTTATAAACACTACCTGTGTGATATGGCTTGGGTCATCAAGCTCAAGGTTGGCTACAATGGTTCCAGGTTCAAGCACAGCACCAGGACTTTTTACAAAGTGAACACTAAATGAAAACATATAGATACAGTCAACAACAGGCAAGGCAAATAAGAAAGGAAGGGAAAAGAAAGACAGAAGGAATGGACAGAAAGAAGGGAGGGGATGGAGTTGGAGATGAACATTTTTTAAGAGAAAAAAGGAGGGAGACAAGTTGTAAAGGAGGGAAGGAAGAATGGAAAAAAGAAGTAATGAAAGAAAGGAATACATGACAAAAGTCAAAAGAAAGAAAAATGAATACATAAAAGATTTGGTAGAAGAGTGCACAAATAGATTCAAAGCTTTGAAAGCTTTAAGTAATGAAAGAAAGAAGAAAGGAATGAGTTACATGTAAGAGACAAAGGAACATACCAGCCACTTTCTGCCACAAGTAAAGGCATAACCATCTTCATAACCTGAAGAGAATAAAAGTATTATCAAAATACTTTTCATGCAAAGAAAAAGGAAGCTGCTGACAATAGAAGTAAAGTTTTACCTCAATTTCTGCATAGGATTCACCCTGAAACACATGACCACCGTCTTCCACCAAGAAGTTGATCAGTTTACCTGCTGATGGAGACCTACAACAAGAAAGTTCTGATGAGAATAACATGGACTTTTCTGGTATACAAAATCATCAACTTTAACAAATGCTATTAAATGTAGATTGTTCTTTTTAAATCTTCTATAAAAAGTTAAAATAATTATTCTTGAAAGAAAGGTTTCCATACCTCAAAACTGTTGGATCRTTTTCCTTTTGGAAGACACAAGTTTTACTGCCAATAGTCATACGATATCTAAAAACAAAAATCATTTGAGTTTAGATTAGATAATTGACTATTTTTTAGTATCATTCTCTTCTTTGATGATTCTCAAAAAACATAAAATATTCATTATTTCAAAGCATTGTTGTTTTGAAAGTTTCACAGGAAAAAAAACATTGCTTCAAATTAACCCATCTGGCAATTCACATGTGCTAATTGGCACAGAGAGAACTGACATTTTTTTCCATATCTTGCTGCCTTTGGAGACTGTCACTTACGTTGCTACTTCTTCCTTCATGTATGAGGTATGACTGCTACCATTGAAGGACAACAACAACCCACCATCACTTAACCTATAACAACACAACATATTAATAAATAATACACTTACTATTACCTTTCTGAAGTATTCTGCCAAGCCCTTTTAAAGACTTCAGCAACCTCAGAGGTTCCTGATAGGGACAGGATATTCATAATGGGGGCTTAGGTTCCTTGTGAGGGAAGGGGGTACATGTAACCAGAAGGAGGGAGGAGTACTATATACTTACCTGTGAGAGTCTACTTCCACAGTAGAGTTATTCAATCTCAGAAAATATGATCCTGGTCCAGATCTTGTAACCTACACACAAAAATAGTGCAATAAATTAATAGATGATAAATGATTTATAGGTGATTGATTGTCATTAGTACTCACTCTTAAGCAATACTTAAAGCCTTCATAAATCAGCTCAACGTCTTCTGAATTCCCCAGGAAATCCTCTGGTAAAATCTGTCCTCTGGATAAGATCACAAACAGTTCTTTTCAAGGCTGTGATTAACATTATACATGTAACAATCATATCCAGTGTTATTTAGTTATGTTAGAGCGGATTTCGTATGAGTGGGACACCGTTACCGCACGGTTACTGCACAGTTACCGCACCTGGCCTGCAGAATTTTGGTGAACCAGTGGGGCACTAGAATTTGGTTACAGTACGATTATGGACACAGTACAGTACCGTCCGTTTCCCACTCATACGAAATCCGCTCTATTTGACTATATTTCAATACCTTTCAGTTGCATTGGTAAATAAAGCAAGTTTCTTGTTGATAGCTGCATCTGCAACATGAATGGCTCCTGATATCACACCAAGCATTGTGTCAGGCTTCTCTGCTTGGACTCTCTCAGCAATCAGKCCATCAAGCCAGCCAGTGTTGAATGTGTTATTCAAAAAACAGTCTTGCTGTAGCAGCTTGATGAGGAACTCAACAGTAGTGCGAAAATCCCCTCGAATAGAAATCTCTTTTAAGGCTAACACCAAGTTTCTACAATAAAGAAATTTTACCAATTATTGATCAAATAATAATTAATCAATAATTGATAATTTTTGACTKACCTTCTAGCATCTTCTCTATCTTCACCCCATGCAAAGCAGTGTCCAAACTGAGAGTCTGCRTACTCATGTAGCCCTCCCTCTGCTGCCACACTAAAGTAGCCCCATACRTTCTTCATACTACGAAAATTGAGTTCCTGCACAGTGCCACTGCTTGGCTTGAAACCCTGATGAATAAATATTAAATTAATAAATGGATAAATGATGGGAGAATGAATGAAAGAATAAAAGGGCAGAAGAATGGAAGKGATAATGGATGAATAAACAGATGGATGGATATAATTATAGATGGTTGAATCAAGCAATGAATCAAACTAACCTCATCTGGGTTTTCTGCTGTAATTCTTGCAGCAATCACATGACCTTTAGGGCTTTTACAAGCAGGAAATCTTAACAAAAACATTGATGACAATGAATAAACCTCTTTTCAAAATCAAATTTATGGTCCAGCAGCACATACTTATCAAAATCAATATTATCATTTGAAAATCCTGATTTTCCATAAAGAACTCTGATATCCTTGATACGATGCAATGGTAAACCCATAGCGACCTAAAAATAATATACACTATCAGAAGAACAGTACAGCAGCATAACGTCCTGTTTATCAAATATTGAGATAAATAACACAGACCTGTAGCTGTGCAGCTGGTAGGTTGATATCAGCAACATATTCTGTACAAGGATGTTCAACCTAGACCAAAGGCACAATATCATTATTAAAAACTAATAAATTATTTCAATTTCTAAACCTCATTAGAACCTTTATTAAAGGGTCATGTTACACAAACACCACATGACCAATTCATTTAATAACAGATGTAAAGACAGTTCTACAATTGTTCACTATATAGTAAATATACAGCTCCTAAATAGAGGGCTACTTAACAGAGGTTCACCCATTAAATGACTTTGTAAAAATAACCATATCCACAAATATCATTCTATATTTTGACAAATCAACTCATTGGGCTCCCTTATTTAAGGTATGTGTTCCATTGTAAGGCTATTTATTTTGATTTGTAGTGTACCTGAAGTCTTGGATTCAACTCTAAAAAGTAATAGGTATCATCATGTGCATTGTACAGATATTCCACAGTRCCAGCACTAATGTACCCAACCATCTTAGCTAACTTGACAGCATCCTGATAAACAAACAACTTCATTACTACCTGGCCTGTACT